CTGAACCCAGTCTAAAATTCCCCAGCCTTATTGCCTAGCCCCGTATTGATTTTTTTTGGAGGTAATTTATGTGTTTTCCCTGCTGGGAATGCAGTTGAAAGGGGTCTGATCTAAGTTGCTTTAGTGACATCATGGAAACCACATGTTTTGGGAGCACAGTGGAAAGTCACTCTCAGAAATATGCATATCAGTCAGTGAACTCGTATTTGTACAGGGTCTGTGTTCACACAATCACAGATGGTTGAGGTTGGAAGGGACCTCTAGAGATCGTCTAGTCCAACCCCCCTGCCCCAGCAGGGACATCTAGAGCACGTGGCACAGGGTCACAGCCACGCGGGTTTGGAAGATCTCCAGAGGAGACTCCACAACCTCTCTGGGAAACGCTGAATTTAAGTGTTGAATTAAAAATATGTCATATCAATAGAATAAATACATTTTAAAGTGGATTTTGAAGTATTCTGACAGAATGTAAATTCCTCGGGTGTATTCTGTCTGCACTGTGGATGACCTACGAGCTGGTGTAGGTGCTTGACCAGAGTGAATATATCCTATTTCAGTAATTAAGGATAAATGCCTTGCATGTCCATTTTTTGCAGTATTCATGTCTCTGAACTTCACTGTTAAGATACATGTAACCCACGGTAAAACGTAAGTCTTTTCGAGTAACTCAGGCTACTTGAAAATGATTTCTCAATTATATTGTTGAATAAAAGTTTTTGCTGCATCATGCAAAATCTAAGAAGGGCTGATGTAGCGCCTTGGGGCTTTTTGTATCCAGGAAAAATCATTTAGATACTGATTATTCTAAAGATACAGTTAATAGTCCAAACAAACTTGCTATTGCCCTTTATGGATCTTCTTGCATCACTTTTTGAGAGAATAAAGACAGATGTTGAAAGGAAAGAGAAACTTAATAAAGAGAGAATTATTTTGTTGTATTTCCTAATTTTTTCCAGCCGATGTGTGATAACCATGACGATGGTGAAACTGCTGCAATTATTTTATGTAATGCCTGTGGGAATTTGTGTACAGACTGTGACCGATTCCTTCATCTCCACCGACGAACGAAAACTCACCAGAGACAGGTAGGGCACATATGACACCACACTGTAGGCATTTCATGCACTGTGTACATTTCTCCAGTTAACAACTGACAGTAGTAGTAAGAATCCTATCTGCCAATAGTGTTCTTTTTTTTTTTTGTATTTTGGAGATGGGAAAGATACATTTCCATTTGATTCTTTCTTCAATATCAGTTAAATTTCCTTGTCCTTCGTCTTCTGCAGACTGCAAAATCACGTAGCAGTCCCTAATTCTAAGGGGTTTGTGCTACATTACTTCTATGCTATATTTTTCTTTCTCATTCTAACATTGTTTAGAAATGTTTCTCGGGAAAAATCTAAGAACAGGATAGCCTTTCCTAAAAACATGTTCTTTATTCCTTTTAAATTCTGTCTTCTATCACATGAATCCAGTGCTTGTTACTGCATTCATTTTATTTTTTTTAATACCCAGGAAGGTGCCTTGACAGCAATTTTTTCTACTGCTTCCCTTATGTCAGCCTTCTCATATATGGTCTTCAGGTTCCTTTTTCACATAAATGTGCTGTCATATCAGTAGGCTTGAAAACTTTCTAGTTTCTTTTTGTTTGTTTTCTAGGGACATAATGTAATTCATCTCTAAATGACTTAGAAGGGCTTTTACAATGTGCTATGTGCTTTTCCAGGGCTGTCTCGTGTTACCCTTTTGTCTCCTCCACCTCTGAGCCTGAAACTCCATTCTCCTTGTGGAGAATGTCTCTCCTCATTTATTTTTATCATTGAAGATTTACCTTGACTGCACCTATATTAGACTTTCAGTTTGGGTGAGGAAACAGATCTGATCATCTCCATTTTGATTCGTGTTACAAAGCAGTCCATGAACCACATTCCTTTCAGGTATCACTATAGAAAAAGGGAGATCCAGTGGCCTGCAACTGCTTACAGGCATTCTGTCTGAGGGACCAGGCTGGGGCAAAGAACAGGAATTAGGTGAACACCAGACGCTTGGCACCAACAGTTTCCCTCTGCAGCTCCGTTCCTTGGTGCCTCAGTATTTGTAACACAGATTCAGCCTTGAGGATGCATGTGGATCTATTCTCTTCTATTTCTCAGCTAAAATCTTCTCTCAGCCAAAATCCTTTTGAAAATTTCCAGTTTTATCATCTTAAGAAAATTATTTTATGTGTTTATTTCCCTGCCATGTCACATTACAGTCTAGTCTCATTTATTTTTCTGATTTCTTTATCATCTTAAGAAAATTATTTTATGTATTTATTTCCCTGCCATGTCACATTATAGTCTCATTTATTTTTCTGATTTCGCCAATATAGCCTGTTAAGATTACAGTTGATAAAAGTAAGTTCTTATCTCACATAAGCTCTCACATCTCTCCTTTAGTCTGCTCAAAAGAGCTAATTATCAGACTTCACTGTCCACCCCTAAAAGCATGTTTAAACTTTTAATCTTTATTTACCACCTTTACCTTTACATCTCTCATGTCTAGCCCCTCACTTTAAATTTTAGACTGTGATGCTCACTGTCTGATATGTTCTGTTAGCTTTCTTTTCCATGTTCAGCTTCTGTCAAATCCTTTACTGTATTTTCTTCTTTCCATGAAAGGACATCCTGTAAGTTATTATGACCTGCTTATACAAATCCTTCCTGAAGAAATTAAGTTTTGGTTGTTCTCGTTTTGTTTGTTTGTTTGTTTGTTTTCACAATTCTGCTACAAATGAAGTAGCTTGAGTTTTTACATCCATACCAAGAACAAGTTTAACTTCTATTGCATTGCAGCTGAAATTAATAAAAACAGAACTGCCTTCAAAACCTAGGAAAAGAAGGCAAATACCTAGAGATTTAATTCAGTTGTTTAATGTTACAAAACTTTATACATCTCCTGATTTTAGTTAAGAATATGCACTGTATCATGCTAAAATTGTAAGTAACCTGTTCCAGAGAAACCAGAGTCACGTAATAGACTAGAAAATAAGTTACCTGTAACATAAAACACAGTAACCAGAAAGAGAAAATGTGCAGCTTTTACACAAGACAATAAATTGAAATGGTTTGATGTGTTACATGGATATAAATGAGACATGAAAATGTTCAGGTTGAAGCTTGATGTTGTCCTGAAGATCACTGGCAGGTAGATAATCTGCCAGGGCACATCAAGCTTCACGTAAAGTTACGGAGCGTCTCTGGATGGGACCGTGTCCGCATGAACCAAGGCACTGGATGAAAACCTATTTAATGTGTAGTATAAAACTGTTTACATATGTCTAGGCCATTGACTACAAGTAACGTGACTCACCAGTAGACCTTAACACATTGTCTTAATCTGAAAAAGGTAAACAATAATAAACATCTTTAACTTGGAATTAGCCATCTTCTCCATGAAACAGGCAGGTTATTGCCTGACCAACCAGCCTACCTTTCTGACTTTGGCTCTTAGAAATATTCCAGCTATTTCTTAGTCTTCCTACATCTGATTCCTCCCTGTCATCTCAATTTGTATCGACAGAGCTAAATTTAATTTAGATACAAATTATCATTTTCACGACTGCTTTGATAAACTACTAACACAGTTATGTGGAGATGCTTCTCATTTATGCTTTTAATATGCTGTGGCCTACTGAGTGAGTTGAATGGTAGTTATGAATTCCGCATTCTATATGCAGTAAATTAATCGGGAAAAAATGTGCAGCTCTCCTCTTAGCGTTGTTACACTCTTGTTTTCCAAGCCTCTTAGTTCCCATCTCTCTCATTTTAAGCATTAATTTTATATATTTTCACCTTTAAAACCAAAATGCTGCACAGCTTTTATGCATTCTGCAGTATGTATAAAAATTATGGAATATATGAGAAAGTTGCACTAGGCACGGCATCTATAAAATACCTGATGAAACTCTAAAGAGCTAGCGACAAAAATAGCATAAGGATAAGACTGCTTACTGTCTGTGTGGTTAAACTGACAGGTATTTAAAGAAGAAGAAGAAGCTATCAAAGTCGATCTTCATGAAGGCTGTGGTAGGACCAAACTTTTCTGGCTGATGGCATTAGCAGATTCTAAAACTATGAAGGCTATGGTGGAATTTAGAGAACAAACAGGTAAAATATGAGTGCTGCTTCTTTTTCTTTATTATGATTTTTATCTTACTGAATATTTGTCCAAAAAAATCGGGTGTTTTCTCATGCTTTAGGACAATGCTTTTGATATCTGCTTGATAATTAGGACATTTTAATGCTGTTCGGTGATGAGTAACATGGTACTTGGAACATTCCCAAATAAAGAGGGTCTACCCAAGAGGGATGAATAAATACACCAGATTTGAAGCAGGAGGCTGCCAGCAGAGTAGGACATTGGAGTTAGGGTTCACCTGGGCAGTTGTGTAGATCCACAGTGAGTTGATAGACACGGAGGCTTCAGGGCACTGAGTAACCTCACTCAGAATGCTTGTGCCAAATAAGATTGAATTGCCCTCAAGTCCCTATTTCCCTTCTTCAACTAGAGCAGTCACAGGATTTTTACATGTGGTGTGGACATGCGTATTGTAGAGGTCTAAAGGTAAATATCAGCTGAAAGAACTGAATTCATAGTTTAGGAAGGTTCTGTGAAAGCCCAAACACTTTCTTCCAGTTTTAACTGGATTTTGAATTGTGTGGCTGTCAGTGTGAAACACTCTGCTGTATCTGCTGCAAAGTTGCCTAGTATTCTTTTAGTACTGTCAATAAGAATATATACATATTTCTTGATTTTTTTTTCTGACAAGAATGGGAATTTTCATCATCCACAAGTAAATGCCTTCCCTGAGGAACAGTGGGTTGTGATGTGTTCTTAACGTTCAGAAGCTCGAATTGATCTTCATTTATGTACTGTTTTACTGATGGTATATTTGAAGAAATGAATCCTAAGTTATAGTATGTTTCTAATAATTGGCTATAGCTAATTTGCCAAACCCAATTAAACCATGTTTTTTTTAATTATAGGAATTATGAAAAGGTGCATAATTACAAATATTTTCAAAATAGAGATTTATTGTCTTAGAGAATTTTAGACTTCCTGAATTACCTATGCTTAATTTGTTTAGCAGTCACTGTTCTACGTGATTTTTGTTTGTGTGTCTGCTCTTAGAACATTGATCACTTAAATTTCATTACAACAGTATTTCTTTCTGTTTGTTCTGGGGACGTAGGCAAGCCGACCACAAGCAGTTCTGAGGCGTGTCGTTTCTGTGGGTGTCGGAGTGGAACGGAGTTATCAGCCGTGGGCAGCGTTTGTTCCGACGCAGACTGCCAGGTGGGTGCTAAGAAACAGCGGGCAGCACGAGCTACGCAAGGTAGAAGAGGCTGTACGGTCTAAATACTTATTACTTTAAGAAAACCTTATTCATGCTAGTAGTCCACTTCAAATCACATCTCTTATTAGAAGAAAAGGTTTTAATACTGAGTTTTTGACTGAACATTATGTTACAATATTTACAAGTTTGCAAACATTCGGTTTAATTACGGACAACAAACACCAATTCTAAAATGGAATTCTGAGTTGCTTCTTTTCTTTATTATCTTCAAAAAGTACTTCAAAAGTATATCAAGAATGAGAAAATTCTCATTCGTGTCAGTTTTCACAGTACTGTTCCAGTTATAAAGTAAAATATGCACTCTTCAGAATAAAGTCTAGTGTATTGAAAAGTTTGATGAAATATCAGTAACAGCCCATATACATCGTGTGAGCACAGAACATTTAAGACCGAGGTTGTTTGGCCATTTTTTTTTCAGCAGCTTGCGATCGTTACATGTTCATTATGCAAAGAGAGGTGCTTTAGCGAGATGTTACAGTTTTTGAAAAGATTGTGTTAATATGTTGGATATCCTTTTGTTAAGAAATTTGACATTAAAACGGGATGTTTGTGTTGTCTTTCTCCCAGATTAGTTTTGCTTACATAAATTATGTCTTCGTTAGGCCATAGCTATTCAGGAGCACCATGTTATAAGTGCAGGTATAAGTTCTACTTCAAGTTCACAAAATGCGCTGTGTTTTCTGTGGGTACCCGGGGTAGCAAAGCAAATATTTATCATGATTCTTTCCCCTGCATAAAATGGCAATATTTCCAAAAGTGCCCCTATCCCAAACCTGTTCTTCAAGGAGGGGGAGAAGATTGACTCAAGCATTTCCTCACCCTAGGAATACGCCAAAATAGCCTGTAGCAAGACGCACGCGTGTGGCCACCCGTGCGGCGGCGTGAAGAACGAAGAGCACTGCCTGCCGTGCCTGCACGGCTGCGACAAGGGCGCCGCCACGCTGAAGCAGGACGCCGACGACATGTGCATGGTCTGCTTTACTGAAGCACTCTCAGCTGCACCAGCTATCCAGGTAGGGCTTTTTTCCCCCTTTTTTAAGCAATGAACACTGTGGTAGTAATGTTAAACACGACAGTTTTTTGAATAAAAAGCCTCTGAAGTTCCGATCGTAAAAGTTGCAAAATAATAATATGAAAGTAACCGTAGCAATATGAAAGTTGATTGAAATGCTTTCTTTTTGTCTGTTATTATCATTATTTCAAGAAAGAAAAATGCATCCACTTAGTTCGTTGCACATAGTTTATTAAAAGTACATTGTATTTTATAAATGGGAAAAAACTGAAGTGATTAGTGGATGCATTTCATATGTATTTTGCATATGCAATGGTTGTTTTGGAGTGGAAAGCTTATGATTTTAAAGACTACTTAATATCCTTTCTCTCAAGAAAATTGACATCTTCCAGTTTATTTGCATGTTTGATACATGTTGCCACTTAAAAGCTAGTAACTACAGCCATGGGTTCCTTTTCCACAGCTGGACTGCAGCCATGTATTCCACTTGCAATGCTGTCAGCGAGTGCTGGAGAACAGATGGCTTGGGCCAAGGATAACTTTTGGGTTCATGTCCTGTCCTATTTGCAAGGTAAATGAGCTACATGCTCACTGTTTAGGTCAAGGAAGTTACCTAATACTGCCCTTTTTGCCATCAGTCGTATCGTTTGTTATGAAACAAATAAGGGATACCTCACTGGTTTCCTTAATTTCTAATGTCACTAAAGAGAGAGTTATCACTAACGTATCTTTTTACCTTCCTAACTGTTTCCCTGAAGTAAGGCCATAATGCAGACCATATCTTAATCATCTTTAATACTCTTTTTCGTTACCTTAATATTCCTCTATTCTTAGAGCCATCAGTTTGCAGCTGCCCCAGCTGGGGACACCGTAGGTAGGCGCGGGGAGCGGCGGGCAAGAAGGAATTCCTGCTATTGCAAGAAGGAGAGCTGGGTTCTCTCCTTTTAAATTTGCTTTATTTTTCAGTACAAGGAGCACAGAGCTAAAGAATAGATGCAGACCTTTCATATATCCTATGTCACATATCCTTTGTGATTGTTACAGTTGATGGAAAAGGCTGATTCATTTATGCTACAAAGAGCCCTGTGAAAAGCATTCGTGTTTACTATTTTTGCAGCAAGTAAAGTATGTGCTACATGTGCCTTTTCTTGAAGCATTCATTCTCAGACTACCTGAGCAGTGTGTTTTTATGGCATCTGTTATGCTTTTCTTGTATTCTACCATAATAGAAATTATTACAGCTATTATAATAAGCTACAAGATATTCTAATTGGTTTCCTTTGTTTCAGAACAAAATTAATCATACAGTATTAAAGGATTTGCTTGATCCAATCAAAGAACTCTATGAAGATGTAAGGAGAAAAGCTCTAATGAGACTGGAGTATGAAGGGTTGCACAAAAGCGAGGCCATCACAACACCAGGTGTTAGATTTTATAATGACCCAGCTGGCTATGCCATGAACAGATATGCCTATTACGTTTGCTTCAAATGCAAAAAGGTAGGACAAGTAGCATTTCCTCAGATTACATGCGTATGATGGTTTCAAAAGTCTTTTCTTTAAGAACATGGCATGTGTTTAATATGTTGTGCATGGAGCAGGAAGGAAGGAAAAGAAAATGTTGTTGTTAAGTCTTGTTTAATGTTAAATCTTTAAAAAGGCTTTGGACAGGTTAGGTGTACAGAGTGTCTGTCTCGTGAAACTCAGTAGTACAGGCAGGCCAGTTCAGACAACAAAGGAATATTGAGGTGGTGGCTTCCTTTAAAGCACGTGCAGATATTGCGCTAGTGTCAAGTGTCTCTCTTTCTCAGAGCCCCACAGGCCCTGGTTTCCCCACCACCAGAGGAGAGACTTTAACTGCACAGAGACCGGGGTTAAGGAGATTTTAGATAACCACTGATGTCCTCCCATTGCTTCTTTGATCTGAGGGTGATTTGAGTGTTCATTTTCTTCTTGCGTGTCTTTTTTCCTTTTCCCTTGAGGCATGACTGGAATGAAACCATTCCAGGATAAAATTTTCAAGGCAGAACGTAATAATTTTAGTGTTAAATGGAAATGCACGATATAGAGCTAGAGGAGAAAGGACTGGCTTCTCTTCCGTGTGCCAGGAAAGAACAGTAGTCCTCCAGCTCTCTGCTACAGAGCTACTCAATTCATTTTGTTCCTGCGTGTCACAATTAATCTATTTTCACTCCTCATCCTGTGTGAACTTATCTAGAAGATGTTCGGGCTCCCTTCCAAAAATACTTTCTTTTTTGGTCTTATTTTCACCCATTTTTTTTTCCTCACAGTTTCTTGTTCTTTCCAGTATTTAACACTCAAGTGTTTTTCGTGTTTTCCTCCTCCTCGTTCCCTTGTATCTTGTCATTCCCTTTTGTACCATGTCCAGACAACCAAGTATTTCATTTCTTAACTTCTTCCCTTCCTCCAACGCCCATCCACCCCAGATTAATAACTAATTCCCTAATGCACATCCCTTAGGAGTCTCCCTTTCCTTTAACCTGCGGAGCGGGAGGGAAGTCAAGCTGGATAGGTTTTTCTGTCCTTGCCCTGAGACCCCCAGCCCTGTCCTTTTACAAATGTCCTACCCTGATGGTCCCTGCACAGGGGAGAGACATAGTCCCAGTGTCCCAACCTCAGGTGTATGGAACAAGCCACAGACAAGAGCACCAGCATGGGACTGTCCTGCCAGCCTTGATTCAGCACTTTCCCCTTACACACTGATCTTGTTAAGATAACAGTTGCCTGTGGTTTACTCTCTGATCATTCCTGTATCAAATTTAGGCATATTTTGGTGGTGAGGCTCGTTGTGATGCTGAGGCTGGGCAAGGAGATGACTACGATCCGAGAGAGCTTATTTGTGGTGCATGTTCTGATGTTTCAAGGGCTCAGGTGAGCAAAGAACTTGTGGTCATGTTTTCATTTCATTGTGAAGCTTTTCCTGCGAGGACCTACCTGAGCTGCACAGTAATTCACATTCATTTACAATCCTATGTATCCTATGTTTTTAGTCAATACTTCAGAATATAGAAATATGTTGGATAGAGCACGGGTAGTTCCCTTAGCAGTGTTTGTTCTCTCTCTGTTCAGATGTGTCCCAAGCACGGTACAGATTTCCTGGAGTACAAATGCCGCTATTGCTGCTCAGTTGCTGTCTTCTTCTGCTTTGGGACAACACATTTCTGCAATGCTTGCCACGATGATTTCCAAAGAATGACAAGCATCCCTAAAGAAGAACTTCCACATTGTCCTGCAGGTAGTATTGTCACAAAACAAATTTCCTGGACTAAATTCTCAGATAAGTTATTTACGCCATATTAGTGTTCTTACATTTTTTGCTCGAAATATTCAGGAATTCTACACAGTCATGTAAGTTTTAAATTCAGCAGTTCAAGTAATTCTAGAAGGAGTTTGTTCTACGTGGCTTTTTTTCTTGGCAATAACACAGACAGTGCTGTTGTCACATAAAACTGATCTTTTAAACGTGGTACACTAGATACTTTGTTACAGAAAAAAAAAATCAACCTATCTACAGCAATCCAGACATGCTTTATTTCAATTGTAGTTAAAAATAGGAGTTAACACACTACCATCCAAATATTAACTTACACTTGTTAGTGTTTTGAGAAACCCAGATGACTGGACTGCCTGTAATTTCTTCTTCTTGGGGAGCTACCACTTTATTTAGCTCTAAATGAATGGCATTTTTTGTCTGTTAACCATGTGAGAGCACCTTTTTATCTGCTGTTTCTTAAGCTTTCATTATTGATACCTTATGAATTAATGCTATAGAAATATTGCCTTTACTTAACACATTTTGGGGGAAGTGTAGTATGTGCTTATTTGCAGTTCACAAGCGTTAATCTCTTTTTTTCTTTTTTCCCCATCACTCCTAAACTCACTGTAGGTCCCAAAGGCAAACAACTTGAAGGAACAGAGTGTCCACTTCATGTTGTCCATCCACCCACTGGTGAAGAATTTGCTCTGGGTTGTGGGGTTTGCAGAAACGCTCACACTTTTTAGACTAGGGTTTTTTTTTTTTTTTTTTTTGAACCAGAGCAAAGCAGGTGCCCTCATCCCTCAAGTGTCCTGAGAGTAAAGTCCAGTTGGGATGAGGATGGGACCATTTCATAACCCAGGTAAAAGGAACAATTCACAGTGCAAGAAGGATGCCAAATACCATGTACATAATTCTTGCTGTGAGAAATTGACATTTTTTGAACCAAGACATCAAAACTTGTGAGGTGTTTGCATGTGGCCATTACAGTCATCGGCTAGGAAACATTGGACATTTACAAATTAATAATTGCTATTAAAGGATCTGTGTGTCTGTGGACTATGAATGATGCTGGCTTTCAGGAGAAAGAAAAAAATGATTATTGTATACTGACTTTTTGTAATCTTGTACAATTGTAACGCATCACAAGTGGGGATGGAAAAAAGGAATATTCTGGTTTATTTCCTAGACTGTTATAAAAAAAATTGTGTTAGGAAGGCATAAATGTAACAAGTATCACGCTGTATATAAAGGTATCAATGTTTGTCCTGTATAAGAATTATTAAATTACAACAGCAGTTTCATTTAAACTTCTGGGTTATGTTTGAGCCTGAAATTTTAATGAAGTGCAATACTGAGTGTGCCTCATATCTTGCAGCTGTAAACATATTGGAATGTACATGTCAATAAAGCCACTGTACATTTTTATACAGTGAAAGTCTAATGAATGTGTAAGCCTCGATTTTCAGAAATGTTTTTTAAAACAAGGTTTATTTCCCATACTTATCTCCACAGGTTCTTTTAAAAAGTAAGAAAGTTATTGGGTAAACTGGCAGCCATGGAATTACTTAAAACATGAACAAAAAGAAGAAAAGCTGGATGATTGTACTAGAATTCATGTAAAATATCATATTTTGATTTCAGCTCCTGCCAGTATTTTGGAACACAATAGAAGACTTAATTTTAAATTGCTTTTATCACTTGTTGAGTCTTCTTTGAGTGATCTGTCTCTCCACCTTTGGTACAAATAACCTTTTGCCATGAATCCAAAAATGCTCATTTAGCAGAGCCCTGTCAACAGCCCTCTGCTCCTCAGCTGTGAGAGTAAAGTACAACCTTGAGGTAAAGGCTTTTTTTCCCGTGCGATTCTCTCTCCAGCCTTTCCGTATGGGATATGCTCAACTCCTCTTCCAGTATTTCTATCCTAAAGTTAATTAAGGGATGTTCTGTGGGCCCTGGGCAGGCTGCTGTCACCCGAGGTCTGACTCCAGTCCCTGCTCAGAGTCTTCTTGCTCGAGCACCTGGACCTTAGGCATAGCGGGAGAGGGAGGTTACACAGAACGTTTGTTAAAGGATTTGATGAGAAAAGAGGACAGACCATGGTGAGCAGGCACAGGACTCAGTCAGACATCGCACTGACTGAGAGCTGCTTCACGCAACCGGCCCCTCTTACCCCCGCTCCTCTCTCGGCATCTCTTGGGTTCTCTAGAGAGTCCAGCGCAGTCCCACAAGCCTCCCCCATATTGGAAATTCTCATGTTTGTCTTGTTCTCTCCTTCTGATCAGTGACACAGGCCAGCGGAGTCCTGTCTCCAGTCTCTGTGGCCATCGATTAGTGGCTGATGCTGCTCTGTCACCTTTTTCCCTCACCATCTCTCCTTACGAGAGCTCCATTAATTTCTTCAGGAAAATAACAGCTGCCATGAAACAGCTGCACAAGAGGATCGGCCAGGAGGACTCCTAGGGTCTGCAAGGAGCGAGAGAGGTAGCCAGAAATTCACATTATGTCAAAACTAAATCCTGCCCAGACCAGCAAGAGCCAAGGTGGCCTTGTCCTTCATGCACCTGCCAATGCTGAGCCCAGTAAAGTACCACCCTGGGCTGTTTTCTTCCCATGTTTGCTGTCTTAAAAGCATTGGCCCAGATGTGCGCATCCCGACTTACTCTTTTTGGGATGACTCATGTTTGAGAAAATTGCCAAGACACGGGTCCCACGGCAGAGCTGGTGTTCTTTTCAAAAAAAAAAAAAGCAGCAGGGCACCTTGTAGTTGAACCACTTGACAGATTGTTAGACACTGAATAAACTAAAGGCAGAGGTGAATCACATCCCCTTTACTTTCCAAGTTTGCCAGCTGCCTTTTCCCCTGTCTTTGAGGGGAGAAGATAACCAGAAAGGTGTCTAAGGAAGAATATCAGAATGCTGATGTAAGCTCAAGGGTGAGAAATGAATTTTGATGGCATTAATCTGTTTTTGGAGATGATGGAGAGATTCGGGCATTAAATGTGAATGGCCTTGGAAGGACAGGGGAGCAGGAGCTTGGCAGAGTGTCCAAAAATGTGAGGAACAGAAGATACAAGAACGGGAGCAGGAGCTTGGCAGAGTGTCCAAGAAGATACAAGAATGGTTTTGAAAATGAAGGCATGAAGATGCACAGCACTGAGGTACTTGGAAATGCATTTGGAAACAAGCAAGAATAAACTCTTATATGGGCACCCAATTGCTTGGAAACTATATTCAGAGAAAAGAGTAATAGTTTACAACCAAATCCATATTCAGAAAAGAGAGTGATAGTTTACAAGCAAATCAGAATAATATCGAGTGATGTTCCCTGGAGGTCTGCCCTGGTTCGGGGTCTGGTAAGCGCTTTCATTTACCACCTGAGTGGTGGAATAAAGAGAAGCTTTATTAAATTAATTAACTGTACTATTGCTATATAGAAACACAGGGATACAGCTAGGTAACCCTCAGCTCTATTCAGCTATTGTGGACCCTGATAATTAAGTTTTTAAACACTGTATCTGCTGCTCTCGGCCTCGTGCAATAAAATGAATGGTTCATTTACATGCTGTTTGTGATTTTTCATTGAACCATAACTTCCAGTAGAGTAGAAGCTGAGGCCAAAGCTCACTTGTTTGAATGTACGTTAGTTTACCCGAAATACCTTTTATTTGTTTTTAGCTAATTCTGACTTGAAATGGAATCCAGAGCAACATCAGTTTTAAGACGTTTGATGAAAACTTGTGTTTGTTAGAAAAGCTTGTAGAAAAGGGAAGAAGTTTATGAAGCCCTCTGAGAAAAATACACAGTAATAGAAGTGTATCCTTTGATCTATAACGGCAGTCTTCCCAGTTCCTCACTAAATTAGGAATCTTTTTTTAGATGATCAAATTTGGATGATCAACAGTTTTTACTTGGGCTTTTAGAATACCTTGGCCTTTGCTACAACAGGGTAAAGTTTGAATGTGTATAGATTCTTTACATGTGGAGAGCAGTATTTATCAAGGCTTCTGATGAAAAAAAAACAATACAGTCAAAGGAAAAAAAAAACTTTTCAGCAATATAAAATAATATATTTTGGTCCCAAATAGATACTTGATCCCATATAGATGACCAAAGAAACACAGGGACAATCTGCCCTCTGCTCGAAGTGCTGTTCAGACCTTAATGCCTTTGTGTTAACATCCCTTTTCATAGAGGAGGAAATAAAGTGATTCAGGTTGTTCACAGCTACTCTCTGTGTCTTCCTAGGTTCCAGAAAGGACTTCAACATGGGTTTTTACAACATCCTCTGCAGTGTGTCCTGCACCATTTCCAATGTAAGAAGGTAAAGAAGGGGAAAAACTGACTTTTCTTCTGTGTTGGTACAAAGGATAGAGCTCATCTCACCTTAAGTGTTCCTAATGCAGGCATTGACATCCAGATGGATCATCCTTGGCTCTCTGTGTTATCAAGGGTAATTGGCACTTTGGGGTACAGGCAGTCAGAGTGGTGTTAGGTAACTATTAAAGGAAACACGCTGTGTTGCACTGGCCATGTTACACAGACCTCTGTTACTTGGAAAGGGAGTACAGGATGGTGAGTACACATGGTCACATGGAATTCTGTCTAAAATGCTGTAGCAATATTAGAAGGGAAAGTTTCCTTATCCCAGGGATTAACTGGCTGTCAGGAAAAGTGGTTTAGGATCAAGGGGGAAAGGGAGATACATAAATTCCCACCTATTATTTAATTGTATTTAAGTTTGGTTATTTGTATGACATGACTAGGGCTCCCACATCCTTAGAAAAGGTTATAATATCCTGAACTCCTTCTCCTGAATTTCCTGGCTTTCAGGTAACCATCCAATACTGGAAAATCCCTTACCTAGTAAGTATTATCCCTAGTGTTTCAAAATATGTCAGTCCCTGATCAATAAAATTCCTAGTCTACAGGTGCTGGTCTGGGATTGAATTACCCTTCAGGCTATTTCTTTCTTTACTCTTCTTCATACACACAAAGCAAGCTATTTTATGCAAGTATGGATCTTTCCAAGACGGAAAACACTTGGAAAACCCTAGTCAGAGCAAGAAAGCAGCAACATAGCAGTAGTCATTTTTACCATGTCTAGGAAGACTCCAGGTCTGTGTTAGGAAATCTGCTGGGGAGTATCATATACTTCCTTGAAGATTGCCCCCCAGTGTCTCTCTTAATGGTGGTTACGTATTTACCATGTTTACATCCATAACTCACTTGAAAGCATCTTTGGATCAAACATCCATCATCCATCATCTGTTTTTGGAAGGCTTTTAGTAGTAATATGTTTGCTGGAGTTTGAGTTTTTTTCTGTTCTGTGGAGGAAAAGGAAAAAAAAATGGAAACTGGGAAAACTAACACTTGATTTTTCAAACAACCTCCAGTGCTTCACTTGAATGTTAATCCCTCCTCCCTGATCCCTCCTCACGAAAGGGCAGCAGCAGCAGCAGAATGGCTGGAATGGCTGGAAGCAGAGGAGCGGGTCAGCTGGAGCTGTGCTGCGTCCCTGGACGCCTGCTGCCTGGCACGGGCGCCTGCTGGAACGGCAGGAATCGGTCCATCCACCAGCATCCAAACCTCTGCCTTCACTCACAGCCCCACACAGCCCCTCCAAAGCTTGGCTGCTTTTGCTTTGTAAATCCTAGCCTTTCCCATACTACTTCTCTCTTGTCATGCTCATTTCTTGTGGTTCATAAAGGACTTCATAGCTCCGCTTTCATTCTGCTCCCTACCTGTTCTCCCCTTCTTAAGGATTAGTCTGTCATCCTCCACACAGATGCTTCACAAAACAGGAAACACCTGAGTCCAAGACCATTCCCAGGGAGTCCTATCAACAGCAACATCATCAAATCTCTGTAAATTAGACCCAGCCCTTGCTTGGGTGCAGCTGTCCCAGCAGAGCTTGGCTTGGCATCAACCTCATGAACCCCTCGCTCCCATCCCCACATAGACACAAAAGCGCAGTATTCCCACAGCATTCCCACAGCATTCCCACGGCACTGGCAAAGACACGCAAATCAGTTTCGGACAGGACACACAGCAACGGCTGTAAAACAAGGTCTCCTACCCATACGCTATCAGGGCAGCCGAGCACTGGAACGTCAGCGGCCTCCCGCTGTGGTGTAGCCCACGCAGCTCCTTCGTACCCGCTCCTGGCCTCACAACAACCTCTCCTGGCACCCTTAAAGAGTACGTTCTGATGTCCTCTGCTTTTCTTTCTTGGTGTGGTGTTTGGAGGAGTAAGATCACAGGCAGCTTAGAGAGCAGGGGCTTCAGCCACAGGCTCATTCCACTGATCTCCCCCACTTATTCCCAAATATTTCCCACAAACGGCATTTTCGTTAAAATGGGATGAGCTGGAAACTGCCAGTCTACGTGACACTAAATCCAAAGGCTGTTTAAAACATAAGACAAAACAGAGTAATGTTGAGACTCCGTGACGCAGCATGCTGAGCTGGCCACCATGCACTCGAAAGGAATAGAGTGTTTCCAAAAAAATGCTAATGGCATAAATCTGTTATTTCTAGGTCTGGATCGGGTGTACAACATGTAGCTCAGTCAATGCATGGGCCTGGGTAATATATCCTTTTAGAAGTCCTTTTTTCAGCCGATTTCTGCCTCCAGACCACAGTCTTTGGACCTTTCTTTGCCCGCTCCCAGCTCCCAGTTGCAGCCACCTCAAAGAGCTCCAAGTAGGCAGCGTGACCTCACCCATGGGCTGAGCCACAGCCAGCGCTGCTGACAAAACACCAGCTGCCCATGGTGTTTTCCTCTGTTTATTCCCAGCCACGCTCCTAGCTCTTGCTTTGCCAGGGGAGAACGCAGACGTAGATGGCCACGCTCTGCACCACGTCCCAGCTCTGATGGGGCTCAACGCACGCTGCCCCCTCGCTGATGCTGCCTGCTTGGATACGCTGCGTGTCCACAGACCTCCTGCTGCATGCCCAGAGCATACAGGAGCAGTTACTGAAAAGCAAATGGCAGCACTGGCACTATGGATTGTTTCTTTTCCCGAATATCGGGCAATAAAATGACAAGGCAGTGTAATAAGTCTACCGCAGTAACATCCACACTCAGAGTTGGGGATTATAAAATTATATGTATTTATATGCATAATCACATTGGGGATTATAAAATTGTGTTGCCTTGGAATAATGACTTATAGCCCTGTTTTGTTTCTCAAGACTTCTAGTTGAGTCTGACATTGTACAATTGCCTTACCATGTTTTTTTTTTTTTTTTTTTGCAGATGACAGAATTTCATCAGATCATACTAGATTTATCTTCGTGAAAAGCTGTTTATACTGACTCCATACGACATAGATCAGGCACTGTGCGATGCTGCCTGCAAACCAGGCGGGAGGCTACTCAGAGCATCCGCTGCTTCCTCTGCATCCATAGGTAATGGACAGTGTCTCCGGTTTTGAGCCCTGGTGCCTGTCAAACCCTTGTTGTCAGAGTTCACCTTGTTCTCCCCCATCTCTGCATTTTGCACATTATATACTTGCAAATGCCTTCCAACTGTGATTAATGACTTTCAGCTTCCCCTTTTTAACAGCAATAAGGGAAAAAAAGGAAATTCCTAAATTGCAAGAATTAAAGATACCCTGTTTTAAGTATGCAAGAAAATGCTACTAAGGATGTGTTGTTATAAAGTGTTTCTTGAGGAACTCAAGGACACTGACATTTGAGAGACCATGGAAGACTGTCCTATTTTGAAGCTATTTCAAGACAGGGAACACATTTACCACAGTTGATGCTTTCCAGGAACTTCATGGTGCGAATCAGCATCGTAAACCCACTACTCTGTGATTAAAAGTTCACAGAGCAACATAACTGTTGCATGAAATGTGTTGTTGCAAGCTTGGGGGATCTCAGCATCTTTGAACGTTGTGGTCATGTTACAGGACTGAAAGACATGCCCTATGCGCAGCAGAAACTTCCACCAGAAGGAAGTTCCTTTTGTAACCAAAGGAAACTGCCACAGCGCTTTCTTTCACCTTCGTTGGGCAGTAGCTGGAGTAAATGGTTCATTCGCACTGACTGCTGGACCCACGACACTTGCTATTTGCCCTCTCGGCCACTACTACTCGGGACTTTTTTCTAGACTTCATTCCTCCTTTTACTGCCCTCCAGGGAGCCCGGCGAGGAGGAGGAGGGGAAGGAGAAGCAGGCAGCAGTCGCGGCCAGCACAACGCAGGCAGGAGAAGGACGA